CGCTCTTGTCCTTGTAGTTATTCATAAGCATGAGACTGGCGTGGATCTTTCATCAAAATTTTCAGCAAAATTTTTGTACACATAAGACCAAAGAACCCACTTTCTGTTTGAGACTCTCCTTTACCTATAGAGTTTTAACTTCTTCTGCATTCCTGAGAGTGAAAATCACATCAAGCAACAATGTACTGATACCATAAGATCTCTTGATAACTTTTCTTGCTACAATAGCAGTAACTTCTAATGGTGGAAATCTGCATCTTAAGTTAGCTTTACTATGATCCCTCTATCACAAAATCAGAATTTTTCTCCAATCTTCAGTCTCTGAACTTTCCTTAAATCTTTAGTCCCCAAGTTATTTTTCTCCTTGTGTTCACCAAGCATATCCACTTCTACTTGAGTCATGTGAAAGAATGCTTTGTCCATCATAACTAGTGCTCTATCAATCCGACGTTCTGAAGCTCCATCATTCAATTAAGGTATCAAACTCCAAATGCAACTGTCTTTTCTTGTTAGGCGTCTCCACCATTAATTTCCAAATCTGAAAGATTCAGATGAACTATGCCCAGAGACGACTGAATAGGCTCACGTAAAACACAAACCAACCGTTGAAATCTCAATCACACCGTTGAATTGTAAGACAGTAGCACTATGAAGTGTCTCACCAAATTTCAGCTCGATCAAGTTAGGTTTGGATCCCCAAACGTTACCTTGAATAACCCATCTCAGAACTGATTCCTGCATTAATCATTGTAAGATTGCAGATGCAGAAAATCTCTAAACTTTGGTTGAGAAATTTATGATTCTACTCTGATCATCTTCCCATTGAACCAACATCACACAAAAGACAAACTTCACCTTCTCCGTAAGGGATTTCTCCTGACATTAGAACTATTTTAAGAGCTTTGTTTCTCTGTATCTGCATTTCTAATCAAACTGCCACAGCATTAGTTGTTTTGTCTTTACAGAGAATGAAATCTGTAAATATGCCTTAAAAGAACCACAGAATCAAGACTCATCAATCTCTCTGGTTTCTTCATCTTCTTGTTGCAATTCAGAGATAACTTTACCCACGCCCTTCCTCAGTAAAACAACGACAACATCTCAAACTTACCAACCTCTCCAATCGCCTTAAATAAGTATTACCACAGCTCTCTGCTGCAGTGTCTTCTTGAAGTTTATGGGTGTGTTATCTCCTTTCTTAATAATAAAACCTTCGTGTCCAGAAGCAACATATGACTTCAGCATCTTATGTGAGCAACAGAGCTTGTATGAACAGCACCACTTTCCTTTCTCAAAAGAAACCATCATGTCTCGGAAACAACTTCTTTCTTCATGTAGATTCTGATTCCAAGAAAGTTACGTTTATTATCATGAATCTTAGCCTTTTGTCAATCTTGTAAATGTAATGCTAAATCTGATCATCTCCGAAACATTGATCAAACTCAGACACAATTCTTTGCATTCTCCGACAGATTCTTCAGTGTACTGAGACTAACAGTATCTGACTCACCCATGCAATTCTCAAGCTTCATCAGATGTGAGTAACATGGCTTACTTTCTAGTATCACAGAACATACCCCAATCACCATTCGCTTCTGCAAGAATACCCTATTTACTTCATGAACCAGGTGCTAAGATCTCACCAAGCTTTTACACTCTGAAGCTTTTCTATCTCAATGGCAGAATCAACTCAACCTTCATAAAAATAAACCTGAGTGGAACCTTGCATAGTCTCTGATATTTTTGATGTGTTATTTGTTGTATTCTTCATTCTCAAGATCTTCTATGCACAAGAGCTTGCGAGTCTTCTTCATCTCTTATGCTCGGGACTCTCTTCTTTCCTCTTACACTGAACCGTTCTTCTTGCGTTGAGATTCTCGAACACACTCGTTCAAGCTACTTCTTTCTCATTAGGTAAGTCCAATCTTCTTCATTGATTCTCTGTGTATTCTTTTGCTTTAAGAAACTGAAGTATCTCATGAGTTCTTTATCAAAACCTCAACTCGCTCTAGACTTTTACTCTAATTATCGAGAAGCAATAAACTCCACGGCTCATCTCTATATATTCACGTAAGTATTCTCTTCCTCATCTCTTATCATTCGTGTAGCCACAAATCCAAGATCTACCAAATTGACAACTTACTGAATACTTAGATCACAATCTCAGTTCTGTTATGTCTTCTTCTCTGCCATGGGTCTAACATTGATGACTCTTCTCATTAAGAACATATCTCGGAGAAATCAGAAATTCCAAATATTATTCCGCACGGACTATCGATTTACATGTTCTAGACTGAAATAAACATCCTTTCTTGATACTCAAGTAACACCATTAATTTTCACAAGACTCCATGTAAACTTTGTAGTTCCTTCACCATTAATTTAACAAAACAACTCTTCCACTCGTTTTAATGCCCTTTGATCCAGACGTACATCAAACTTCTTATGCTCAATTACTCTTCGCGGTTAAACACCTCCAGTGACTAACCGAACTCATCGTTTAGGATTGTGAGCACACAACTCTGTTCTCATCTAATCAAATTCTCTATACTAGCCACAAATCCAGGATCAAACCCGTAATAAGCCGAATATCTATCGAGAACCCGCTCTGATACCAATTGTAAGTGCATAAGTGCATATGTGTTCAAGTGCATATAGAATATGTATGAGCATAAAGTAAAGAACACATAGACATTTGTTAACGAGGTTCGTTTCCTACATCCCGGTACCACATCCAGAAACCATTCACTAGAAAAGGCCGCAACCTACAATTGCTATATGGTATCTAGCACACAACTTGTGCCTACCACTCTTATCTAGATTACAATGGTTAGAGCAACTACTACTCAGTTGTTTTTATGAAGAGCATAGTTCTCTACAACTAAACCACCAACAGATCTCACCATCTGTCTGGTGGGACGACGCCACACACCTGTGTGCCTCTCTCAAGAATACCCTCGGCGCGTACCTTTTTCTTTGACGGCCTCCTGGTATTTATCTGTTTGCTACACCCTAAACTTAGGGTTTCTTCACAATCTTTCCTTTTTCTTCTCTGGTGGGACGACGCCACACACCTGTATGCCTCTCTCAAGAATACCCTCGGCGCGTACCTTTTTCTTTGACGGCCTCCTGGTATTTATCTGTTTGCTACACCCTAAACTTAGGGTTTCTTCACAATATTTTCTTTTTCTTCTCTTAAGAATAAGGAAAATTTCCCTCATATTAAACATATTATTTAAGATGATTATCCAGCTCAGCAGACACCTCTTGGCTTGTCCAAGTCGTCCCTAAGCTGTTGTCCACTTCTGTACTGCAGCTTTTTGTTAGCAATCGCACAGCTGTGTTCCTGACGTAGTTCTTGATGTACTTCTTGAACTACTTCCTGATGTACGTCCTAAACCACGTTCTGGTCTACTTTATGTAGTACCTCATGATATACTTTTTATATTGATTTCTCAAACCAGTCAGCATTACATCTTCAGAACCAATCAAAACCACAAAAATAAAGAAGAATGATTCAAATTTAGCAAACCAAAACAAAACCCACTGAATAAAGTAAATAAACGGAACTAACATTGTCTTGGTTATGTCTCTCAAGACATACAGAGGCCACCTCTTCACCGTACTTTTTGAATGTTTTTTCATTGTCGAAATTCACCGGTCTGATTCTTTTGTAAATATAATGTGGCCTGAGCGATAGATCCACCATGAAACCTTAAACACACACACAAAATCACATCATTTATCTTATTCCATTGTTTTTTTTTTTAAAGTTGACATTCAAAATTGATACCTTTCTGGTGATGATCTGGTTTTTATAGATACGATAATCTTTAATAGCCTCCTCCATGTTTTCACAAGGCTGATAACGTGGGGGAAGGTCAGGCTCTGAAGATGAAGAATACACCACACCAACGAAGCTGTCCACATCCCACTCGGGAAAACGTCCAATTCATACATCTCGCGGTCCCAATCATTACATAAACTCACACAATGTGCTAAAACATACATCAGCAGAAACTATATTTAAATTTCATACATCAACCAACATTTTTTAGTAAATTCATACATTGACCGTATCTCCCTAATTCAAATGTTAACAGAGTCTTACATGGACTTAACAGATGATGACGTGGATTTACAAGATTAATACATAGAAATTAAGCCCAAAACGACGTCGTTTTATTAAAAAAATAATTATTTCAATCTGGTTGGAAGGGAACTCAAACACAGGTTCTCCACAAAGACGCATCCCCTATTCAACCACTCTGCCATATACGCATCATTGTTTTAACTCATCATATATACATATTTAACTTCACCGGCTCCGGGTTTTCCACAAAATTTTGTTGTCATTTGGTGAAAAAGGGACATTGAACCCGGGTTCCCAACAACACCCCATCCCCACTCAACCACTCTGCCATGTATGCTTAATAGGTATAATACATCATCTATAGATATATCGGGTTTCGTAAAAATTAGTCAAACGTTTTTTAAAAAAATAAAAGAATCGCTCAAATGTTAAATTTTAGGAAATTGGAAATTTTAATGTTTTTTATATATTTTATTCCAAATAATTTATTATTGAATTTATAATCCGGGTTCGAATCCTCCTCTAAACCAAATGAAAACGAATGACATTTTTACATATTTAAGATCCATCGGTTCGTGATTCCTAAAAATTCGTTTTTATTTAGTTTAGAGAAGAATTCGAACCGGGTTATAAATTCAAATATAAATTATTTGGTTTAAAATATATAAACAAATTGAAACTTCCAATTTCCTAAAATTTATCATTTCAACAATTCTTTTGTTTTTTACAAAACATCTGAGCAATTCTTACCAAATCCAATATATGTATATATGATGCATTAAACAAATATATCATATTGGGAAAGTGGTCCAGTGGGGTATAGGGTATAATGGGTAACCCGGGATCAATTCCCCTTCTACACCGAATGGCAGTGAATTTTTGTGGGAAACCCGGAACTGATGAATGGTAAATATGTATATATGATGCATTAAACCAATGATGTATATGTGGCAGAGTGGTCGGGTAGGGGATGAGTTATTGTGAGAACCCAGCCCCTCTAAATCAAATTTAAATGAATATTCTTTTTAATAAAACGTTGTGGTTTTGGGATTGTAAATCTACGTCATCATCCGTTAAGTCCACGTAAGACTATGTTAACATTTGTCTTCATCAGCATCCTCTCCCTCCTCAATCCTGTCTTCTTCAATCTTACCATCGCTCTCTTCCTCTTCCTCTTCGACATTCTCTGGATCGAGCTCGGCCTTACGCTTTCTTTGGCGCGAATCTTCAACGATCAAAGAAACCTCCATGGCCTCCCCCTCCAACTCGGTGGAACACCCTTCCCTCGCCGTCACGCCCTCGCAAGGTTTGAGAATCACTGAAGATGCTTCCATCGAAGCCTCCTCCAAGTTGCTCGAATCTCTCTCGGTCTCTGAGCAAGGTTTGAGAACCATGATCTTTTCTATTTGAGATTCCGACAAAATCGTAGAACACCTTTTCTCTGTCCAAATCTAATTGGGAAGGAGTGTGTATAAGCTAATCACCGAATAAAAAAAAGAAAATAAAATCTCGGAGTTAATCAATGTGGATGCAGACTTTATAATATTTGTAAGCCGATATAATAATTTGTGGTAAAATGGGGGACTAGTGGCACGGTTAAAGTTTCCACTTGTAATTTATTTTACTTTGATTTATGTAATTACTGAAACTATTAAAGCAGTGATCCGTTACGTCTCTCTCTTAAAGTGTTCTCTCTCTTCTCTCTATGAATATAAGCTCTTCTTTTTCCAGTCTTTGTTCTCCAGCCGGCGTCGGGGGCTTCTATAGACACGGCGTCGGTTGGTCTTTGTTTCTTGTTCTCCTTTAGTTTATTGTGTTCGGTTTTTGTTATCAAAAGCTATTTTTTTCAGTTTCATATCTTGATTAGATCGATAAATCTGAGAGTTTGACTTGGTTTTGACTCTTTGGATGCTTGCATTCAGTGATTGTTTTGGTCCTTGGTTGTGGTCTGATTATCCGCCGTCTTTGGCAATTGGACTATCTCTCACCGGTTTCTCGTTATCCTCTGAGCTCAAGGTCTGGTCTTTTGTTCTCTGTTTTATCCGCGGTTTATCTAGTCTCGCCTTGGAATAGTGAAGCTTCCGGGTACATATAGAGTGCTTATTAGTGGGATTAGGATAAATATGTTATCCTATATCTATGGGATTTATGTTATTCATGTATTTCCTTATCCTAGCTAGGTTATGCTTCATAAGTTGTATATAAACACTTCTCCGTGGATGAATAAACAATATGCAATTCTACATTATATTCATTATATGGTATCAGAGCTAAGATCTTACCAAATTTCTTTCTTCTAATCAAACTCATCAACGTTTGGTTGAATTCTTCTACTACTACATACATTGATCTAGATGTCTATTACTTCTACTTCTACTTCCTCGCAAGGAGCTCCTCCTGAGCGTTCACCCTATTACCTTCATCCGTTACATAACCATGATGCTCTCATTACGACAGTTCTTCTAACGCATGATAATTATTCTGAATGGTCCATGGAGCTTCGCAACTCCTTACAAGCTAAACAAAAACTTGGTTTCATCGATGGAACAATGACAAAACTATCTGATGATAGTTCTGTTTTAGCATGATGGCTTGCAGCAAACTCTATGATAGTGGGATGTATCCGTATGTCTATCGATACTAAAGTTTGTTCAACAGTCACACATGTACCTGAGGCTCAAAAACTGTGGGAAACATTGCGATTTCGTTTTTCTGTCAAGAACGGAACCAAAATTCATCAACTTCAGGATGTGATCACTAACTGCAAGAAAGAGGGCCAATCTGCTCTAGAATACTACGGAAGGTTAACAAATCTATGGGAGGAACTCCAGAATCTCAAAACTTCTCGTACGTGTACGTGTGCTGCAGCTGCAGATATTGAAAAAAAAAAAGAGGATGCATGTGTCCACAAGTTTCTCTTTGGACTTGATGATTCACGGTTCTTATCTATTTGATCAAGGATTACTGATGGGGATCCATTACCGGACCTTAATATAGTCTATTATAGAGTGATTTATGAGGAGCAGAACATGATAACAACTAGAGCAAAAGAACAGAGGTCTGATGCTTTGAGATTCTCAGCTATAACCGAGAACTCTAAATATCTTACAGCTGCAGTTACTTCTATACCTCCATGCTCCAGAGATCCAGCTCGTACGTGCACACATTGTGGCAGGATGGGTCATGATATTACATAGTGTTTTCTCGTCCATGGTTATCCAGAGTGGTTTCTTTAGTGACAAAACAATGCATCTTCGGGAACTTGTGGTAGACGTGGATGACGACGTTCTACATCAAGCAAAGGTCATGGTCACGGTCGAGCGAATGCAACACAAGCGTCACATAACCAAGATCAAATTGCTTCGTTGATTACTCTTCTCCAAAACCAACAGAGCAATCTCTCGTCTAAACGTCTGTCTGGTAAAACTACACTTACTGATTTTATTATTGACACAGGAGCCTCTCATCATATGACAGGTGATCTATCCTTACTACATGATGTACAAGACATATCGTCTTCATCGGTTTTGTGTCCTAATGGTCGTAACTCACAAGCCACAAAACAAGGTACATTGAGGCTTAGTACAGATTACGTTTTGCATGACGTTCTTTACGTTCCTGAGTTTCAGTGCACACTAATCAGTGTTTTCAGATTATTAAAACAAACGGGCTGTATAGCAATCTATAGTGATACATTGTGTGTTTTACATGACCGTTTTTCGAGGACTCTGACTGGAGCATGTGAAGAACGTGAGGGGGTTTAGTACTTTACGGGAGTCAAGGTTGCACGAGTTTATAGGGCTACAACGACTACAAATTCGTCAGTTCTATGTCATCGTTGTCTTGGACATCCGTCATACAAAGTGTTATCTTCATTACCGGTTTTTAAGTCTCCTGTTAAAGATTTTTCTGATTCTAGTCAATGTGACCATCTGCTTTCAAGCTAAACAAAATCGACGGGTATTTCCAGAGAGTCTAAATAAAGCTTCTTCTTCATTTTAATTGATTCATTGTGACGTATAGGGACCATATCGAACACCTTTTGTGGTGCAGTTTATTTTCTTACCATAGTTGATGATATTCTCGTGCGGGTTGGACATATCTGATGCTTGAAAAATCTGAAGTAGCTACATTACTTAAAAACTTATGTGCCATGTCTGAAAGACAGTTTGGACGTCAAGTTCGAATGGTTCGTACAGATAATGGTATGGAATTTACAGTTCTCCAGAAGTACTTTCAAGAGCATGGGATTATTTATCAGACATCATGTGTTGGTACACCACAACAGAATGCCCGAGTAGAACGGAAACACCGGCCTATTCTGAATGTGGCCAGTGCGTGTCTTTTTCAAGCACGACTACCTGCTAAGTTTTGGGTAGAAAGTATCATGGTAGCAGCTCACCTTATCAACCGTACACCCACACATGTTCTAGATTGAAAAACACCGTATGAGGTGCTTCACGGTAAACCACCTGTCTTTGATCAGCTTAGAGTTTTTGGGTGTCTTGTATACGCACACCGAAGAGCCAGAGATAAATATAAAAGCTTTAGTTATTTACATTGCTTGCTATTGTCACTTGTTTACTCATTCACATAAACAACTTTGACAGCATTTAGATTAAGCATAGCTTGCATTCTCGTTGCTTCAAAATGACTCGGATTGAATTGACATCCTCTCTTTACTACTTTAATTTGACTTAGGAACCTAAAACTTCCTTATAAGATATCTACAGAGGTTTAGGACTGGAAAAGAACGCCGTTGCCTGGAAAGTCACACCACTTGTAGGGTTCAACGGCGATAAAAAAAATATAGTAGGTGAAGTACACTCTACGTCTACGCAGAAGAGTAAACATGTCTACAAATTTTTTGGTAATCGATTGTGCCTGCCCTATAACATGATCATGGAAGGCCCTCGGATCCACGTTGTAACACCCCTGAACCGTTCTAGGTATAAGTCGAACCATCAGCCAACAATCAAACAAGAACATGACCGACGGACCGACTTTCTACCAAAGTTCAGAGGCGCTACATGACGGGTTAGGAACAATCCAGCCATGGTCACAAAGAGTGCAATTCGTGACTAGGCCTGACCGTCCACTAACACGTCCCGTCAGATCAAGGCCTAAGACTTCTCAACCCGTACCCCAATCTGACGTTGTGTTAGCTTGGACAAAGCTAATATCAGATACAACAAGGCATTTACATAAGACATCGATTTATTTATTTTATATCATATCTGGTTCACAACACACAAAATATCATACAAGTAGTGGCATGCCAAGCGAGCAAAAGATACATACTTATAGTCTGAAAACGTCGCAAGCAAAAAGATGAAAATCTACCCCAGCCGACCCAACTTCCCGCGATCTCTACGAACTCTACTGGTCACCTGAAAACAACAAAGAGTGAGGGGTGAGTAATCTAGCATTACTCAGTGAGTTACAATCCCCAACTAACAAATACAACCCCTCGCTATCCCACCCCAAACAATATAAAGCGAGAAGTTCACCTAATAGCATAAATCAGTAATAATAGGCAAATCAGAAATCCGCAGCAGAAAATAACAACGATCAAATTATCGATACTATAAGATAATTGCTAAAACTTGGAAATCGATCTAAACTTAAACCAGGTTTTACCAATCCTTTTATACTAAATAATATATATATATATATAACTCGGGCCCCGGTGACGTTAGGTTCCTCCTTCACTATCGGCAACATCCTAACTTCCTACCACGAAGGCCAGAAGAAGGAACTTCAACCGACCGCGGCCCACAGTCATTCGGGTCACCGCGCGACAGCCCACAGTCCTTCGGGTCACTGCCACATTACACCGTCGTGTAATCACTCAGACATAGGCCATGACCCCGTCTCTCTGAGTCTTCCCGATCCAGCGAATAAGGGGTTTCCTTGAACCCGCCAGGTACGAGGTCTGAAGGAACACTAACTCACCCCTATACATGCCTAGCATTGTGGGTTACACAATGCTGTCGGCCAATATAACGAATACTAAACCCGGTAATATAACCAAGGTTCCAAATATAATCACAACCAAACACAATCAAATATATTCTAGAATCTAGCACAAAGAACAATTCCAGTATATCTAACTATCCACAACCTAGAAATATCATCTAAGCATTCAACGTTCTCTAACTAACCAATCAACCTAACTATTAGTATGCTACTACGATTCTCAAGCAATACTTAAGCATGCTATCCACTCAATCAATCTAACCTCAACTATTAACTAACCAAACCGTTACTCAGTTTAGACCCGGCCTCCTGCCCAGATCCAACTTCCAAGTAACGGGAACCTGCATGAAAAACAACTCAGCAAACAATTGATTATAACTCACTGTTTTTGGTTGACTCGTGGCNAGCATGCTATCCACTCAATCAATCTAACCTCAACTATTAACTAACCAAACCGTTACTCAGTTTAGACCCGGCCTCCTGCCCAGATCCAACTTCCAAGTAACGGGAACCTGCATGAAAAACAACTCAGCAAACAATTGATTATAACTCACTGTTTTTGGTTGACTCGTGGCCTTGACCCCGGACCCGTCTTCTGCAATCCGAACCCTTTCTTGACCTTCCCAAGTAGATCCACGTCTGTACCGATCTTGAGTTGGGCAGAACCTTCTTCAGATGTAGACTCAAATCGAGCAGAGTAATTGTTCTCGA